ATACTTTTCCTGGTGTCCTTCGAAAGCTCTTTGGTCTTGGCCATGGCGGAGTTTGGAGTCTGACTGTTTGAGGCTGTGGACAGGTGTCTTTTATACAGATGATGAGTTCAAACAGGTGCCATTCATACAGGTAACGAGTGGGGGACAGAAAAGCTTCTTACAGAAGACGTTACAGGTCTGTGAGAGCCAGAGATTTTCCATGTTTGAGGTGACCAAATACTTATTTTCCACCCTAATTTACGAATAAATTCTTTACAAATCCTACCATGTGAATTCATGGATTTTTTTTTTTCACATTCTGTGTCTCACAGTTGAAGTGTACCTCTGGTGCAAATTACTGACCTCTGTCATCATTTTAAGTGGGGGAACTTGCACAATCGGTGGCTGACTAAATACTTTTTTGCCCCACTGTATATGGTTGATGCATGCGTTTCCCAGTAATAGTTTTTATCTAATCTAAATGCAATTTAAAATGACTATATTGCCTCTGACGAACCTATTACCGGCAGTTTGTGGTGCGTGACTGCATGATGTAAGCAGATTCCTGTTTGCTTTCACTTTTAGATGTTGAACACAGCTTTGGCAGTTTGGGGAATTAAACTATTTTTGGGCTTAGAAACCTTAACTATGTACACGAGGCCTGTAAGGCTTTAAAGTGCTCCAGAGATTTCAGAGGTGTGGCTCTGGAATATTATTTCCAGACAGCAGGGATATAAAGAGGATAAAAAAAATGGGTGTTTGTCTGTTGAAATGCAAACTTGTGACACCAGCATAGGGGACTAACTAGCTTTGTGTCTACAGGTAACTGGTAATCCCAAGCTCCAGCATAAGACAAACAGCTATCCTGCAGGCTCACAGGCCATTCAAGACTAAAACAACTAAAAGTGGCTTCTTGCAACAGCAGGAAGCCACTATTTTATTCCACAAGATCCTTTTGTGGTCTCATAAGGAAATGTCAGTAAACACTTTTACTTACTATTCAGGAGCACAATTTAAAGGTACTTTACTTGAGTGTTCCCATGTTGCTTTCTAGCTTAAGGTTAAATTATACACTGCATTTATTTTTATAGAAATAACTGTTTAGTGTGACAGAGAGTTGTTTTTGAACACTAATATTTTGCACTGAAAGAATCAATATGCAACAACATCAGGAAGAAGGAACACAAGAAGCTGGAGAAATACCAAGGGCTCAGCGAAGAGCTTTAGAAGATGTGGAGGGTGAAGGTAAGAGCGCAGTCCTAGGAACAGCTAAGATATTGCGCAGGACCCTTAAGATCCCAGGCCTCGGGTAGAGGACCCGAGCTTGAAGGATAGACAGATTCTTATATATTCTGTTAGCTTTCCCTCAATACATTTTTTGCATCACATCCTGAATGCAAAAGTGAAATATGGCACATATATTTCAGCATTGATAATAACGAATACTTTAGAGATTTCTGTGGCTGGCACAAGTACCGATACCTTAGCACCCATGGAGCTAAATACCTTGCTAATCCTAGTCATGTTTCTTGCTGTAATCCTTGGAAAAACAAGCACAGTTTTTAGTTTCTAAAGCCAAGAACAATGCTGCTCCTTCATTTTCATGTCCTTTACACACAATAGACAGGCTAATGATGCAAATTCATGCTTCAGCATGTGAATAATAGCACATTTGGAGTTATTAAATGCATACTGACTAATATTTTGCAGCTCTCTCAATTTGGAAAAAAAAAAAAAAATCCTGATTTTCTGTTATTAATGTAATTACCATTTAGTGATAAAAGCTACTTGCAAGGTAGCTTTGTCTCCTGCCTAAAAATTACAACCAATTTCAAATGTCATATCTGACGAGGATATCAGTGTACCATGCTAAAATTTTCTAAGGAGCCGTTTCCTTGTTTGGCTTCAGTCTCTCGCCTGTTTTTAAGATTAGGTTTAAAACCCAACCAGTCGCAGCAGATGGCCCCGCCCCTCCCTGAGTCTGGTTCTGCCGGAGGTTTCTTCCTGTTAAAAGGGAGTTTTTCCTTCCCACTGTCACCAAAGTGCTTGCTCATAGGGGGTCATATGATTGTTGGGTTTTTCTCTGTATCTATGAAGCGCCTTGAGGCGACTTTTGTTGTGATTTGGCGCTATATAAATAAAATTGAATTGAATTGAAAACTGTTCTTTTTGATAAAGCTTATAGTTCGGGCTGGGCCACGTGACTTTGAGCCCTCCTTGATTATGCTACTACAGACTTTGCTTTGCTGGACTTCCCATGACCCACTAAAATCACATCTTTCCACTACCTCCGTGTGTCACAGTGTTTTTATCAATAATGGTTGTCGGTGATTTTCTGATTTATTCGGATAACTAGTTCCTGGATCATGATTACGCTTAGTTATGCCTCATTCCCCACCTGTCTCCACCTTCCTTATCAACCCCAGTGTGTATAAACAGCCATGTCTACGGGTCTTATTTTACTCCTCCTAAATGTTTTTAATGTTTTTTTGTTTGTTTTTTGGACTGAGCCATACTTTGTTTATGCTGGGTATTGTTTGTTATTAAAATTCACCCAAATAGTCTTGTTTTGTTGTGTTTTATTTTTTCTAGTTTGTATGCAGGCTTGTGCAGCATTTGGGTCATCCTCTATACACTTCAGCATTAACAGTATCTTCATATAGTAATTCTGAATGTCATTACATTTTATGTTTTCCCAAGACCTCCCAGCTGGCTTCAGGCCCTTCCTGAGCCTGGCTCTGCTGGAGGTCTCTTCTTGTTAAAAGGAAGTTCTTCCTTCCCACCATCCCCGAGCAGTCACCCATAGTAATTTGACTGTTGGGGATTTCTCTCAAATATCTGTAAGATCTTTACCCTCTAGTAAAAAAGGTGACAGTTGTGAATTTTTTAAGTGACCTTTTCAGGGTCAAGCTGGGTAGTTTTCATTAAAAAAGGTCAAATTATACATAATTATGACCCAGAAACTTCCAAGTTTTCTTTTATACATTAAGCAGATGGCTTCTGCAAAACTGTTCAGAATTAATGTGCTGGCAATGTTCCGTGTTAGCAACATAACAACAGAATGACTTTATAATAGGATTTTATGCCCGAGGAGGCAATAAAGCCTAATGAGGAACAGCAGTCCTTGAAAACAAAAATGATCCTTTGCTAACAACAACAGTGCCACGATCCTCGGTCTGAGCGTGCTCACTATGAAAAATTATCTGTGTGTCATAGGTGTCCTTTTTTTCTGCTCTTGCTCTTGACGAAGGCGGTCGCACTTTTCTCCTCCTCCTCTTCTCCCTTAGCTTCCCTCCTTAGACTCTTGTGTCCTTGTCTAGTCTCGTGTTTTTTATATTACTTTTCCCTGGAACACTTTCTCACAGTCTGTTCTCTAAAACCTAAAAGAGGAATTATGGATTTGATCATCTGGTCCCTAAATGCAACTGACACCCTTTTCTCAATGAGAAGTTTGGGCTTGGGTGAGCCTGAGTGCTGAAGATATCTACCTATTCGGAACCATGGTAACAGGGTTCTCAGGAATTCGCATGATAAGGTGGGGCCAGGTTTCACAATGAACACACCCGAAACTCTGGCTGATTGGGACCCACACCCAGTTTCACACCTTGGCTCAGGCGATTAGAGGATCATCAGGGGGTCCTTTTGTCCCTCTGTGGGGGGATACTCCCACTAGGTTTATATCTGGGACTCTCCACCATTTGACCTTAGAACTGAAGAAGCTTCTCGGATGAGAGGTGAAACGTCTTCAAGTAACTTAAAGAAGTCCAGACGCTTTTCTTTGCAAGCTCCTTTGACTACGATGACCTGGATGACTGAGAACCTTCACAGACATAACGGGGTTCTTGCTGATCGGAGCTGGCTTGGCCCTGACTTATCGAAGAATTAAGGAAGCGGAACTGGCTGTTCAAACCCCCACAAGGCTGCCCGCTGGGATTGAAACGATGGGACGAGGTATGAGTTTCTCAAAATGGGCTCATTGAGCGCAGCACAGAGAAGATCTTGGAGAACGCACGGCTGCCATGAATACTCAGAATAAGACCTCTGAGTGCAAACTGTATCACATCTTGGAGCAGCTCACTGTGGTCGTGAGGTCTCAGAATCGGCTCCTTGGGCACAAGAATGACAACACCACGGAACGCAAGCTTGATAACATCATGGAGAAGCTCACGGCTCTCCAACGGGAGATTGAGAGACCAGTGTTGGACTGTTAGAACAGCTTTGAAATTTATATGAGCTGTTCGCACTAAAGTAAAAAGCACCATCACTTCATGCGGATACCCTTTCGGTGCCAGCTGCGGTCGCAAGGCTGGAGCCGAACAAAAACTCCCTGATAACGATGGGCTAGTCTGTTCCTTCCAATTCCATGCAAGGCCACCTAGGTTGGCTGGAAGACTGTTTACTTAGCCTAGCAGGGCGAAGGACATTGTCTCAGCTGAACTCTGGACACGCACACACATACATATACACTGATCACCCCTCACCCCTGATCACGCATCACCCCTCCCTTTCCGAACGCCTTCGATGCTTGTTCCCTCCTGGGAACACGGCGGGTCTGAGCCCGTGCTGGAATGGTAGCGCTGGGCAGGATGGCTGCTGTGTTTGCTTCGGATTACTCCTCACCCCCCACCCAACCCTGTGGCTTGTCACGTGTTCCATAATGTTGTGCTTTGGACATTTATGTGCTTTTTTGTGCAGAGGAGTTTTTTTGTTTCCTGTTCTCATGCTGTCCTCCCAGGAGCCCAGCATGAGTAGAGGTCTCTTTTTTCCTCTTGTACTTTCCCATTGTAGTGTATATTTCAGTGTTTTTCTGTAACGCTACCAATCTCCGACCTGTATCCCCATGTGATGTCTGTGTTGTGTGTGTAAGGTCAGGGGAGGGGTGGGGGTCCCATTTCACTGCAGGGCAACCTGCACGTGGTGAATAAAGCCTTGATTGATTGATTGATGTGTTCACTGCTCAAGTGAGTTTTCAAAAAAACGTCAAAAAAAATCATTTAGTCAGCCAAAAAAGTTAGACTCACCCGAGACGAGGCATGTTTCCTCGCATTCTTCCAAAGTCTCAAAATTGTTCTGGTTTCCCCCACAGCCTCCATATTCAAAGAGTTCACAGCGTCCGGAGTCGACATTGAAGAAGTATCTGTCCTTTATGGCCCTGCACGGCCCCGGCTCGTCCTTCAGGGCACATAACTCACTAAAGATGACGGGTTCAGCTGGCACTCCATGTGCTGTGGTGGGACAAGAACACAACTTTTAGTGCTCAGCTTCTTTTGGCATCCAGTAAAATGGATTTTTTTTTTTTGTGAGGAAAGAAATTAGGTCACAGCATCAAACTCTAACCTCAGGCTTTGAGATAAGGTAAAGTTGCATGGCAGTATAATTTTTAAAAGACTTTCGTGTAAACGGCTGACAGTCAGCTTTCAGCCGTTTACACTTTAGACACAAGAACAGCACGCCGTGTGACCTGACAAAATAATTAGAAATATGCAAATATTTAGTCAGAAAAGCTACTCACATATTTTATTTTTATGCAATAACTTAAAAGAAAACTTCTACTTTTGGCATACTTCTTTTTTGGACTTGCACTGAAAATAAGGAAGCACCAGCAACCAGCAAAACTCCCCTGCGACATAAAAGCAGATCAGATCCAGGTAGGTGGCAGCTGGAAGGAAAAGACTGAGTGAAGGCAGCACAAATTTCCCAGCATGCTGCACACAGCGATGGCTTGGACTGCAGCACATCAAATTATTTATTGCACAAACTGCGAGACCGGATCATTAGAGTGTTAAATAACCGGGCCTGTTGAGGTGAACTTTCTTGATCACTAGGCGGTTGAGGTCACAACTTTTAAGATCAGTGGACAATGGAGCTTTGCACAGACAGCATTCTCTAATGTCATTAATATTTATAAAAGCTGGCTTTGTCAGATCCATGAAAAAAAAAGGTGACACGAAACCCTCTGAGCTCTACTAACCACCGTTGCGAATGTTAAATCACTGTCTCTGTGTGCTGCTGGGAAATAGCTTTCTATGTCCTCATCCCTGCTGTTTTTAGGTCAGGTCTCTGTTATGCTCGCCTGCAGCAGTGCAGTTACTTCAAAACCCACTGAGATCTCTTTGGTTTGTTGGATATCTGTCCAAAAGGGGTTTACAGAGCTTGAACCACAGCATTTAAAAATGTCTTTATGGATTCTGCGCATGCTAATGTAATAAATAAATCGATGTGTTGCAATCTCTCACTCAGTGTTTCCTACCTTCCCTGCTTTTTTCACGTACGAGCACAGAGAGGAGTGACTTTTGAAACCTGGGAGTGTGAATCAATACTCGCGCAATCCTGCACAATGAAAAAAATATAATAACACAAATGCACACGGACACAAAAATTGATTGCTTTTGCTATGGATCCCCATTAAGTGGTGGTGCTCAACTGTCTTCAACCAAGATGGCGCCGCGTATGGTCGCCCTGGTGCTTCAGTGCGTTACTTTTGTTTTGTTTTTGTACGCTGTGTTCACTGCATCATTCCATGATTGGCACTGACCACCACCTGCACTCATGTATATATCTTTCAACGTAGCACTCTTAATTCTTATTCTCATGTATATATCTCATGTATAGCTCATGCACATATCTTTCTACGTAGCACTTTTAATTCTTATCCCTACTTTTATTTTTTCATGTCTATTTAAGTGCTATTTATGACACTATGTTTGCACTGAAGCACCGCAGCAATTTCCTAATGTTGTAAACCTGCTCAACATTTGGCAATAAACCCCTTTCTGATTCTGATTCTGATTCTTAAAGAATGCATGACAATTTCCACCTATGCTGCCTATTCTGCAGAGAAGGTCTGAGGTAAATATAGCCACGTTTGTCACTCTTTGTTATTTTCACTGTCACTCTCAGGACTTGTCCTAGATCTGATTAGCAAGTCACATTGTGAGGCAAAAATTCCAAGAATACTGGTTAAGTTCTGAGCTCTCTAGAGACATTTTCACACATGCAATGCAACCCAAAACTATTTCCTGCTGGAGCTGCATGTGAGCACTCAAAATTTCCAGTGCCTATGCCATTTTCACTTCTGCCTCTGCTTCTGGGGTAAAGTCCCAGTCTTCCTCCATTTACTCAGATGCTTAAGGCAACCACTGTATTAATGGCTTACTTAAAATAAGACAAAAGGAAATCCTAAGTAAAGTGAAGACAAGTGTTAAAACAACCAAAAATGCACAAGACAGATCAATTTGTTTTACAGCTTATCAAACTGAGGGCCATCTCCTGCGGGCTGCAGGCAAAGAGGCATGGTAGAAGCAGGATAGATCACCGGTCCATCACAGGAAGAACACAGTCAGACAACTACAAATTCACCAGATAACTTAACAAGCAAATGGGGGGGTGGGGGGGTGGGGGGGTGGAATCAGAGTGGAATTATAGAAAGGCCTCTCCTGGCTGGAGGGCTTAAACCAGGAACCTTCTTCCAGTAAAGTGACACTGTTAACTCCTGCATTACCGTACCAGCATACACAAGGAACAGAACTGAATTAACAAGATTTCAAGGCTATATAATGTATCTAGTAATATATATATTGATGTTTTAAAAATCACCCACTTTAGATTTTTGCAGCTGGGATGAAAAAACAAGGTTTGTTTTCTGAAAGCTACAGAGTTTCATCAAAACAGGTCCTCTAATGGGACCTACCCTAACCCCTCTCCTATCAGCACAGCAGTCAACAAACAGTCACTCTGCCAGGAAAGGTAATGAGGGCAGCAGCTCATCCTTTCAGCCTGTCCTCCTCCTTTACCTGTCCAATTCTAGCTTGCAACCAGCCATTGGGGATACCAATCAGATATTCCCAATCTCCTTCTTTCCAGCCGACCTGTGTTACTACTAATGCATGTGGTGAGGCCAGCAGAGTTTCCCTGAAGAGTCTTGTGGTATTTTTGTTCATGCTCCTCTTGCCGAGGCTGATAAGCAGTAGCAGACAGGGAGGAATTTCACATTGACATAGGTGAAGTGAGTCTGTCTGGTACCCCACACAGCCTATGTGGACGCACCTTAGTGCTGAAACACACTGAACAAACTTTAAAGAGAAAGATGGCAAGTCACAATTGTTTGCTCTCTTCTTTGAGATCGAATGCCTCGGGCTACCATGGTTACAGCACAAAAAATTCTTTAAAAATAAAAGTGCAGACATGGTGCAGACTGGGCTTTGTGTTACACAGTGTCTTGCAAATAGGAATGGTCAATAAGCCAGAATTTGACTTTCCAAGGAGACGGAAAGGAAACAGGTTCCTCCTATTGATTTCTGCTCCTCCTGTCTAAGCCAGACCAAAGCAATAAGGACTCTTTTCTTCTATCACTCATGTTCATTATTCAGACAGAAGCATTGGGAGGCAGTGTAAAAGAAACACAACTGAAGACATTTTCTCTGCAGGGAAACCAAAAAATTCCAGCCACTTCCATGTGGTGACTCAAAACTTCCTTTAAAGAATTTGTTTGGATTCAGGAGACAGACACCTTCTGTTTTTAATTTCAGGCTTAAAGCTTTCCTTTTTGATAAAGCAAATAGTTACGGCTTCAGGTGACCCTGAACCTTCAAGTAATTACACTGTCCTAGGCTGCTGGGGACTTCCCATGATGAGTGTTTCTTCCTCACGTGCCTCATTTCCCTTTCTGTGTGTTCATACACCATTTTCTATTTATTCATCAGTAATTATTTATCTCTGGCTCTCTTCCACAGCATGTCTTTTTTCTATCTCCCTCCCCTCACCCTAAACTGATCGCAGCAGATGGCCACCCCTCCCTGAGCCTTCCTTCCCACTGTTGACAAGTGCTTGCTCAGAGTGGGTCATCTGATTGTTGGGGTTTTCTCTCTATTATTGCAGCATCTTTACCTTATACCTTGAGGTGACTGTTATAAATAAATCTAATAATTAAACCTTACATGAGATGCCAGCCAACAGCGGTTCCTTTGATTTGAAGCCTGACCCCTGCCCAATCCTGCATTTTCATTTAATGTTTTGGTTTTGTTTTGTTTTTTTGTTTTGTTTTGTTTTGTTGTTTTTTTTTGTTTTGTTTTTTTAAATTGGAAAAAATGACCAGACCTGCAACGATCAGATTTTTTTCTTGATAGGTTCAGAATAAAGTTAGAATAAAGATCATTTCCAAAGCATTCCTTTTATGGATGCAGATAATGAGTCATGTCAGGTATTCCCAGTAGCTTTTCCTCTGAACAATGGTAGGCTAGCATAAATGAAATTTGCCACTGCCTCCAGTATTTTACAATTAAGAAGTCCTCCTTTATTTTTTTATGCACCCTTTTAATGGAAAACCCATCAGTGCAATCAAGTACAATCAGGAGCGCCGCAAAGAAGAAAAGGCTGAAATTAATTACATAGATGGCATTAAAGAAAGAAATGCTGAGAGTTTTTGAGTGGTTGGCGTGACATGAGCAATCTTCTAGTCACCCTCATTCCAGCTCAGGTTTTCTTGAGCAGCATCATAGAACTGCAGCTAAATGCCAAAGAGATTCAACATTAAATAATTCTGAATGAACAGCAATAATATTGTTTTTATTTTTGTCAATCCCAAGCTGTTTTTCTTGGTGGAAAATTATATATTATGATCAAAAAATTAATAAATGTATGTAAAAAGCCATAAGCTGTATTTTACATGATGCAATTTGCAAACTAAAATTAAATCTTTAAAGTATGCCGGGGTAAAATTCAATAAAAAAAAAAAAACACACACTTTCACACACACACACACACACACACACACACACACACACACACACACACACACACACCCCTGAGCAATCTACAAATCCATCCAAAGCTCTGGATCTGTCATCAGGAATCCTCTACAGAGTTGAACAGAGGGTAAGTAAATATTGTTCACAAAAGGCATCAGAAAAATCCTTGGACCTATTAGCATGCTTCTTGAAATATGAAATATGGAGCGTAATGAATCAGGAAGCAGATTTCAGGCACGTCAGATTTCTATTGATGGCTACTCTTCTGAATACTGCTGACAAGTTCAGCTTGGCCAAGATTTGTACGTACACATATGGACGGATAAAGTCGAATTTCCCAGAGGAACCCACCCGAGGGATTAATAAAGTTCTATCTTATCTTATAAAGATCTGAGTTGCTCAACATGTGCGCTGTGCTGAGCACCTCTGTAATTCCCTGGGCAGGTTGAGTCTGATTGAAACCCAGTCCCAGCTTGTTC